TAAATATATATATATTCACTTTCAGTCTGCATACAATCATCAAAATATAAACCTGTTCTCAGAAATTGCATTAGCACTTTTAAGGGCAATTCTTTATGAATGAGGGGTAACCAGGTATTAATGAGTAGAGAGCTAATAGTCCTTGGAAATAGTTCTCACTCTTACATGCCCAGTACTGGTTTACAAAAAGATTTTAAAGGCACTCTTGACAACCACTGAGTTGTCATGGATGCTACGTAAAAGTTTCCGGTGCTACAGACCATCCCTTTGCCACAAAAACACATTCTCCACTTTTAAACAGATTTTACTAATTTATTTTCAACTACAACTTTGGTATTGCCTCTATGGAGTATTCAAGAAACACTAGAATATTCCAAGACTTCTAGAAGGAACAAATTTCACAGAGGGGAAATACCTGTAGCACAGTTGCATGGAGTTGCCTGCCTCAGGAACAGCCACAAGCAGAGTTGCATTGAGCAAATATTTCACGTGTCCTTCTCTTGTCAGGTTTTTTTGTAGGTTTTTCAAACACTGTTTTTAACTTTTAGATTATAAAGAATGACACTAAATTGCCCAGAAAGCAGCAGGATATAATCCTGAGTTAGACTGGAGAAATCAATTGGAAGGAGTTGGTTTTGGTAAGAGTTAGAGAACTAACTACAGTGGACAGAACAGAGACCTGGCTACAGAGGATGTATGAATGTTCCTACACATTAAAAAAGTGAGGAAGAAAATGCAGGTCGAATTGTTATGAGATTATTTTGTAGCAACCTGCAAGAAGAGACCACTTATTTGACTTGTTGCTTTTGGGAGTACTAAGCTGCAGCAACAGACAGCAAGAAAAGCTGCAGTCTTCCTGCATTTAATGTGAGATAGAGGTTCAGTCTGCATTTTCATGTGATTTCCAAGGCACCCCTATGTTGTGCCTTGTTATGTGCTATTAAAAGCATTGTTTATCTTTATGAAAACATTTTTTCTGTCCAAACCCAAGTTTTCTTCACTGCCTGCTTTGTAATTTTTCTTCCCCCCCCAAAAAAAAAGATCAAACTAATGCTTTTATCAGTTTAAAAGTCAGTCTCACTACTATCTCCTCTAGTTTTCTCCTATTGAAATAAATTGATTTTTTTCAGAGAATCTAATGCATTGTTTCCTTGTGCATATCCTAAGGAATTATTTTAACTTGCAACTGCAGAACATACTGTGATAAGGATATGAAAATCACCCACCAGAAAAACATTAGCCAGCTGCTTAACGATGATGATTTTTGTGTTGTTTAAGCAACAAAAAATTAGGATAACTTCCATTCATCCTCTTTTGTATACTCCATAACAGCAACAATTCTCATCTGATAATATTTTAATCGTCTCAGAACAGCATTTCCATCCCACTATTTGTAAAACTCATCTATAATGCACAGGTTTTGAAGTTATAAAGACCATTTGAGACATATAAAGTAATGTCCTGTGCGCTACTGTGAGTGCTGCCCCACAGCTACTGTCCCGTATCTGCTGTTCTCTACAGCCTCAAACAGGAACTGGGAACTTAACAACAGCGTGATTGAGGGGGGGAGTTATGCTCCCAGTTATGCTCCCAGAGTTAGGAAACAGCACAATATGCAAGGTAAGAGTTTTATGGCCTACATGATCAAAAGGGCACGTTCTCTGCTGGTGCTACAGGCCTGCAGGATGCTCGTTTGGATAATTTACCAGGATTTCTCTATGAGGAAAATGACCATATTCCAGAAGAATTTCCCCTTTCTGTTATTGATCCACAGGAAGGGAAGGTATAGTAAAAAGAATCCAAATTCTTTTGTAAAATACGAACATTTGGAGTATTTGAAAGTCTTGCCTTGACCTTTCCAAAATGATAATGCAGATTAATGTTTCATTTCTTAAGAACGTTTTGGTTCCCTGCTGTTGTTAATACCTTGCTGAAGGCTTAACCTGAAAATCTCTTTTCTTACCGGAGCTTTCTTCCCTGTATTAGGTGCTCTGCCTTTCTTACTGTCTGCCACTTGAGGACTGGGCTGCTGGGAGTGAAAGAAAAAAGAAATAAATCCCATGGAAAAGTCCAGAAATGACACAGACCTAAGAATTAAAAAAAAAAGGAAAAAAAACCAAAGTTGACTGAATTTTGGTCTAAAGAGATTGCAAACATTTCAGTTAGGAAATAGCTTCTTGAATACTACCAGCAACTATTCGGTTTTATTTTGTGGTAGTAACTCATTTCAAATGTTTATTTCTATGTGGGCATCACCCCAACCATCACTTGTTTTTCAAAAGATTCTCACCTAACCTATCAAAAATACAGGAATCTCAGAAATGAGAACCCAAACTCTGTACCCAGAGAAACCCAACAACCTCGCTTTGCAAAAAATGTATGCACATAGTGAGGCTGATACACTGCTGCAGAAATAGTACCTGGAGCAATACATGTTGTGTTGTGTGAGAGACTTGGCAAGAGCTGAATCATGTATTGTATATTCACTGTGACACCATTCACTCCCAGCCTACTTCTGCAGGTAAACAGAAAGTCTTTCTACGCTTAGAACAACCTTTATTCTATCTTTGTTAATTTAATATCACCAAATGGCCAATGTTTTATGTGTCCACCAAACACATCCTATTCTGTGTCACAAGACTAAGCCTGACAACAGGCTAAATGTTCCATGTTTAAGCTTAAAAAGACAATAGTAGTAGAAAGACCATATGAAGTACATCACATTATTATTACACATTTTTATTGTACCGCTTTGCCTGAAGGCTCCAACAGTCTCATCATTTCTTTCTGAATATCCAGAATTTTTTCTATGCCCTGAAATTCAACAGTAAAGATAAATTATTTAATTTTAGAAGCTTAAATCAGAAGAGAGAGAACACTGATTCTAAATGCAGATCTTAATAGAAAGTCTTTTTAAAAAAAAATAAGATAGACTTTCTTAACACAATCCCCCCACCCACAAAATGCAGTCAAGATCCAATGACAAGGACTCAGTAGCAGTGGAGTGAACAGGAATATTTAATTATGCTGATAATGGGATGGCAAGGAAAGGGGTCTCTTCTTCCCCAAAAGGAACCCTTCCCAAAGCTAACAAGTAAGCAATATCTGTGTAATATCTGAGAAGTGGGAAGATGATAATCATGGTTCACAACTGTGACTCTATCGACGACTTCCTGACTGGAAACTCTGGCAAAATTGAATGTATTTACCTTTAGAACATTTCCAGGAAGCAGGGAAAAAAATTGCTGTCTTTGTTTTAAACATTGGCGAATGAAGGAACGCTCCAATGAAATTAATCCATTGCTTTCAACACAAGACTCTTTCCTTTTCAGCTGAGTTAGTAAAAGTTTAATGCTAACTCTGTAAATCACATTTCAGATTTTCTTAATCTGTGCCAGTAAAGGAATACTGAAGGGGGCAGAAGTCAGTCACAGCTGACAACCCATCAACACAGGACGAATGGCTACGTTTTTCGCACTCCAGCAAACAGCTTGCTGCTCTCCCATGAGCACTAGGAAGCATTATGTCTTTGAAAGGTACAGAATTAGCAACCTTATTAAGAGCTCTTGGTGCCAGTTCTAAAAAGTTAAAGGAAAAGGAAAAAGAAAGAGAATCGAGCTCAGCTATTTGTTCGGGTCACCAGCGTACAAAGTAGAAATCACAGCCCTAACGTCGGCATCTTGTGCAGATACATTCTTTAATGCAACACATGGCTAAACAAAAAGAGAAGGCTGATCCAGTCTGTCTCATCCGTCCTTCTTGCCCCTTGAATAGATTTTGTTCTGCTTTGTATTCCCTTCTATCCCTACAATTTAATTTTTAAAGCCACTTATTGACAAAGATTTTATGCTTTCCTGTGAATCTGTTACAAGTTTCGTTGTTTTGTATGCTCTACCAATCAACTGATACTATTTATACCCTACTAATATAAAATCACATTCTAAACAAAATTAAAATCTCTTAGTGTTGTGTAACACATTCCCCTACGTCATCTTCAATGGACTGATTTTATCCTCTGTACTAACACATACATATTTTAACTCAAAATCTTCACGTATCTTCTTTTAAATCTTAATCTCTTCACTTCTTTTCACATTCCTTGTGTTAGAATTCTGCACCAACATTTGTTAAAACTTTGACCTTGCAAGCAAACAAAAATTGAAAAATACAGTTTGTCAGGACTATATTGAAAATATCTATATACTTATTTACATATATGGTTTATATGAAGTTTGTAGAATACATTTATAAAAATTAAAACGAAACAGTACCTGTTTGAGTGATAATTGAACTGGTGGTATAAGCATAACTTCTTTTACTAATTTCAGTTTTGCAGGTGGAGTTCTTTCACAGTTCAACAGAGTAACCATTGGGAGTGGTAGAGTCATTTCTTTAGGTGAATCCTGTAATTGAGATTACCACGTGAAAAGATAAATGTGAAAAATCAGAATAATTTCTTATATATTTTAATTATGGCACAGGGTTCAAAGACTGCTACAGCCAATGGTCTTAAGGGTGTATTATATGAAGTATATTTAATACCACTGTCACAAGGGACTACTGGCTTCGGAATTCTAGACTAATTATGATAACTGTGATAAAATCAACAAAATTATGAAAGTCACATGTACCTGATCACGTTTCAGCAGTGCAATATGTAAGTACAACGGGATGTGGCTAATGGTGGCACCAGCCTTAGCTATAGCAAGTGATGTTCCCCCAATGGCTAAGCTGCCACAAAGCACTGATTCAACGGGTTCCGCAGGTGGGATCGTCCTCTCTGCAGCTGCCACCTTCTTTCCTACGAGACAGAGAGAAAGTAGCAGCTAAATATTTCCTTGGTTTAAAACATGTGCTTATGTATCACAGTTATGTGAGTAAATATGATGTTGTCATCTCAGTATGTAGTCAATGTATTACAAAATAATGTTATTTTTAAAAAACTTAATCGTGTCAGTTGTTTTAGATTAAATGCCTCTACAAGTAAGCAAAGGATCTGTCCTCTGATGTCAAATGTATTTCAAATCCACTTATTTTGGAGATCTTTCAGTCACTGAAATCTGTATTTCTATTTATCTATGTTTATATCCAGTAATGTTATATGATTTTTCAGGTTCCTTCCATAAGGAACCTTCAGTATTCTTTATCGTCCTCTTTACATGCTCAGCTTTTGCATAGACAATTTGGAAGATTACATTATAACCTGACTGGGAACATATACACTTGATTTCTCCTGATGATGACTGTGTGAAAGATTTAGGTCTATTATAGTTGTATTTGCCAATGAGAAAACAGGTCTTTTAAATATTCCACATGCATAGTCTTGTTAAATTCTCAAAAGAACTTATTTCTCTTTCAGATAGAGTAGAGTAACTTTTGTCAAAATGCTTGAAACCCAGCAGTTCCCACTATCACAGGTATTGCCTACAGTGCTTACCTGGTTACGTGCAGTAAGCACCAAGGTGGAAGTGAGATGAAGTCTGATTCTTAAGAATGATATGCATTGGGCACTTTTTTGTAAATCTACTTTCATTCCTAATAGAAGTGCCATACAACTTTTGATTTCAATAAAATATAAATACTACAGGCTACAACTGATAATTTATGATAAAATGTTCTTAATAGGACGTTAACTGGATATGCAGATTAGGTTATACATCGTTTGCATACTATACACAGATTCTATACCTCTTACATTGAGGATGAAGAGCTACACACACAGACACTAGTAATCAAGTACTGAGCAACTCTGACAAACTGCAGTGTCTTGCAGAGATCCTTTCCACTACACCACTTTGTACCTGCATAAATTACATCATCGCTCTCTTTAGGGTCTCTTTAGCTTGGAGAAGAGGAGACTGAGAGGTGACCTAATTAATGTTTATAAATATGTTAGGGGCAAATGTCATGAGGATGGAGCCAGGCTCTTCTCAGTGATGCCCAATGGTAGGACAAGGGGCAATGGGTGTGAGCTGGAACACAGGAGGTTCCGCTTAAATTCAAGAAGGAACTTCTTTACAGTGAGGGTGACGGAGCCCTGGGACAGGCTGCCCAGGGAGGGTGTGGAGTCTCCTTCTCTGGAGACATTCAAAACCCGCCTGGACACCTTCCTGTGTGATCTCATTTAGGTTCCTGCTCCAGCAGGGGGATTGGACTGGATGATCTTTCGAGGTCCCTTCCAATCCCCAACATTCTGTGATTCTGTGATAGCTGCTACCTCTGAAAGCACTCACTACTCAAAGTCACCATCTGTTAGTGGTCTCCTGTAACAACAATAAACATTGTCTCCTAATAGTAAGGTATGGATTCTAACAATAACATTACAGTCAATGTCGCAATAAAGACAAGACAATTAGTGAAAACAAGTAATAAATGTATCAGCAGAAGCTTGACTAGAAGTATAATACACAACACAATGGTATCTGGATCGACCTGACAACTGCAGTTGTTACATTTCAGGTGAAAGGTGAATTTACTGTGCACACATCTAGCATATTAATTGATAGGTTTTACTGATAGTATATGACAGTTCAAACTAAACTGATAATAAATAACAATTTACCAAAATTTTCTGCCCTTCCAGGAAATGATAACAAACCTTTTTTTTTTTTTTTTTTTTCTGAGGGTAATGCATATATAGAGGTAACATATGTGTGGAATAATTACTGGAGGTAACTTAAAAATCAGAAAATGGCCTTGTTCACACACTAGGGAAAGGTATAGTGTCGAAGACGATCCCAGGGGAAAAATGCAACTGGTATGCAAAGAATCCTCAAGGTTGTCTCCTGGAGAGCCTGGTCTGCACATCAGTATAGGGGGTAGGAAGGGGTGGAAATCCTTTCACTAACTCCTGTAACCACTAAGACCTATGACAGTTGATATACTACCTGTTTGCAACACTGGACCAACTGTCTGGCACCCTTTAGACAAACACCTCCCTTGTGTGAACCTTGAATTATAAAAACACAAAACACCTCTGGCTCACTGAGCACCCCCTTCCCCTTACTGAGCACACGCTCTAAGTTTTGGTAACTTCTGCCTTAAAAGGGAAATGGAAGTGTTTTTACCAATCACAGTAAAGGTATGACTACAGTCACTCAAGCTCCACCTTGAAGGTACAAAATAACATAAAAACAGCCCAAAGAAAGGGGGAATTTAGGGAAGATACCATCAGGGACAAGTCAGGGAAGATACCACCGCAGAGCTCTGACCATTGGGACCAGCCGAGGGCTGAGCCTCTCATCCCCCCACAGGGACACCTCTGGGCAAGATTTACACTTTCCCGAGGACTTTCTCAGAAACTTAGAAATCTCTACAGAATTGTTTTACTAACTTAGAATCACAGAATCATAGAATGGTTTCAGTTGGAAGGGACCTTAAAGCTCATCCAGTTCCAACCCCCCTGCCATCAGCAGGGACACCTTCCACTAGATCAGGTTGCTCAAAGCCTCATCCAGCCTGGCCTTCAACACTTCCAGGGAGGAGCATCCACAACTTCCTTGGGCAACCTGTTCCAGTGTCTGACCACCCTCACAGTGAAGAACTTCTTCCTAATATCTAATCTAAACCTCCCCTCTTTCAGTTTAAAGCCATTTCCCCTTGTTTTGTCATTAACTGCCCTTACGAAAAGTCCTTCCCCAGCTTTCAGTAATTTCTAACCTTAACGCTTGTATTCACCTCTGCAGACAGTAGATTATCACTGGCAATCCACACGAATCTGTATTACTCCTGTTGCTTTATTAAAGTGCCTTATTCACTTACTGACTTGCTGCACAATTTCTCACTGGGCACCCCTAACAGGCTGTGAGAGTCCAGAGACGGTGACTGGATGGCAGGTGCAGGGCACTACCGAGTGAATCTGGCATTGGTGTGCCCGGACTGGTAGTGCCACATTGAACCGTGTCTGTCTGTAACCAGCCACACCAACCCCTGCCATGGGATGCCGCTGAATGCTGCAGGTTTAGCCATGTGAGTCCATAAATCATGGGCACAGGAGTGCAGCGCACCATCGAGTGAACCTGCTGTTGTCGGACTCGTAGGGCTCAATTGGGCATCATCCAGGATCTAAGTCCAGCCACCCCCAGCTCCTCCAGTTACCTGAGGGCAAGCTGGAACACAGAGGGGTTTATTTCCTGCCAAATTGCTTTACCACCCCTTTCACACAACACACATGGTGCTTTTCTTTCTTTTTTGGCCATGTACACTTACCCTTTTTCTCTACTCTCACATCATTTTTTTCCTTTAATAGCATTGTTTCCTTACTTCTTTTTACTCTGCACTGCCCATCATTCCCATCTCATCCCCCCTCTCCTTTCTTTTTTATTTTTCACCTCATTTCTTCCTTTTCTCAGGGTTAGCAAGAAACTTCCCTTACTCCCTCTTTCCATTCAACTTATCTTAATTCTATTTCAATTTTCCTGTTCACTTCTGTGATTCCCTTTTCTTTCCTTATAATTTTCATTTTTATTCTTCATTTGCATCCTCCTCCATTCTTATTCCTCACTCTGAAGAGTAATAACCTCCTGTCTAAGCCAACTGTAAAACAAAGGCAGAAACTCTGTTCAACCAATGCATGTGAATTATGAGGAAACTCTGTATTTCCACCTCTCATTCCTGCACTAGAAACTGCCATGATCAGAAAGATTTAGGGGAGAGTAACCAAGCCCTTTGAACGTAAGACACTGTGCTATATGTTATATAAAATATATAAAGTATTTTAGCACATTTATCAGTATGTGTATTGCAGGAAATATTAAAATCAAATGAACTAAAACCTGGTTTCGCTGCTTTTTTTTTCCCAGGTAGTGATGTTGTTGACGGAGCACATGAAGTAAGGGCACGAGTGGCTTCTGGTTCTTCTTCTTCTTCTTGCTTTTGAATTTCTTTTTTTTCTTCTACCTTTTTTGTAAAGTATTCACTGAGAGAAGAGACATAAAGATCACTTGCTCAAAATATTGTTAGACACGTGACAAGCAGATACAGGATACAGGCTAAAGAACATGGTAAGAGAAGGATTAAGGGTATCTATTTGAGCTTCTGCCACAGACTCAGTGTGTGAAGCTGGAGAAGTCAATAAACTACATTATTTCTTGGTAGTTGTCTGCAGAGTAGGTTAGACAAAAAAAAAATGACAAGCAAGTATTATAAACCTTAACACATGCTTTTTGAATCACACTGGTTTGAAAGTCAGCTCTGTGCAGACAATCTCAGCATGAAGCATGTATTTGCTTTGCATGGGTACTGACAGATCCTGTCACAACTTCATGATGTACAACAGCTTGGCCTAGGTTGCTAACCCAACAGACCAGTTGTACTCTGCTTATCTCAGTGGCTGCAAGCTCAGAAGGGGCCGAATTTCAACCACACACACAAAGTGGAAACTGCATACAGGGATCAGTCACCCAATTAAAGCCAACTATGTATGTAAGATATATAAATCAGTGTAAACAATGTATTACAATCTTATTTAGACTCACTTCAGTTGGAAGAATTTCTTTTCAGTTGAGTACTCATTCCCTTCATCAAGGTTTCCCCAAAGCTAATCCATGTGGAAGGCAATTAGGTCTGTTTGCTACAGTCTAAGCGTGTCAGCCCAACCGCCACCCCTACAGCAGAGTCATTCCCCTCAGCCATGTAGCTGGAAGAAACGCTTCCAACTACAGTAGAGGATGACAGGCCACATCACTGCTTCCAGGGTGAAGAAACACATCATAGAATCATAGAATGGTTTGGGTTGGAAGGGGCCTTAAAGATCATCCAGTTCCAACCCCCCTGCCATCAGCAGGGACACCTTCCACTAGACCAGGTTGCTCAAAGCCTCATCCAACCTGGCCTTGAACACTTCCAGGGAGGAGCAGCCACAGCTTCTCTGGGCAACCTGTTCCAGTGTCTGACCACCCTCACAGTGAAGAATTTCTTCCTAATATCTCATCTAAACCTCCCCTCTTCCAGTTTAAAGCCATTTCCCCTTGTTCTATCACTGCCTGCCCTTGTCAAAAGTCCCTCCCCAGCCTTCCTGTAGCCCCTTCAGGTACTGGGAGGCTGCTATAAGATCTCCCTGGAGCCTTCTCTTCTCCAGGCTGAACAGACCCAAGTCTCTCAGCCTGTCCTCACAGGAGAGGTGCTCCAGCCCTTATGTATCCAGGTAGGTATCTGGATACAGATATCTACCTCCAGCCAGGTATCTCCTCTAAAGTTACTGTAAAAGTACATTCAAATACATCTATGATACTTCTACCTTCCATCTTTTTTTCTTATAAAAACCAATCCTATTTCTTTGAATGGAAAACTGTGACCATTCAATTTTACTTTGGGGTGCTCCCAAGAAGAAATATTTGTACAAAAAAAATAAACGTGGATGTTTACTAAAGAAACTATGTTTCCAAAGAAACTAATTGCCTCAAGTAAGGAGCCTTTTGGAGTAGTTTGCTCAGAAAGATCACCACCAGAACCTGGTAACTGTATATATAGATATATGTAACTGTATATAACTGTATATATGTACATGTTTTCTGTGGATTAGCTCAATGCAGAAGACACACACACACAGGTCTTTCCTAACACTTTTGTTCTGCAGTGCAATGAACAGAAGAAGTGCAGTTGCAGTCTGAAAAAAACATCCCCACTGAATTAAACTGACATGGAATGAGTTTCTTAAATGGAGCTTTTGACTCATGAACATGTTCAGGTATTTTTTTTTTTCTTGAAGACCCTTATTTTTGTATCCCATGTATGAAACTTTGTAAAAAGCTGCATGGTTTTTATGTCATTATTATGAATAAATCAGGTAATATAGTGTAATGTATCTGAGACAGACACCACATCCTAAAAATATACAAAAAATCATGGTGTTTTTCATTTGCAATATAAACTAATGGCAAATATTTCAAATGCAATAATTTGCATAATATGCAAGACCTACCCAAGCATCTTATCAACTTTACACTGGTCAGTAGGCTCCAAGTCTCTCAACATGGTGTTCAGTGATTCATTCACCCATTCCACAGCAGTGTTAACAGAGTCATTTCTTTCCTTCTCATCAGCTTCCATTGTTTCAGGTAAAGCATTCTCAGGTGTTTGAGAATGAAAAGACATTACAGTGGAACAAACCCTCTGCAAAAAAATGTAAAAAGGCTTAAAACACTATTTAATTTCTAACTTGGAAATGTCATTTGAAAGACTAAGGATAAATCCTTACCAACTGTACAAGTACCTATCTCCAAATCTACTGTTTGCATCACTTAGCCTTTTCACAGATGTTATCCAAGTGACCTAAATTATAACTACTTGGGCAAAAACCTCCTGGCAGATCTGCTTTATATATATACTTTATCATCAGAACAGAATGGAGTTATTTTAAAGACCACACGGTCATCATGGCATCTTTTATTGCAGTTGTTGGCAGCCTGTTGTCACATGATTCATCAGCATTCATGCTTCATGCCATCCCTCATGATCATTTTGCCTTACTTAGGTAATTTAAAATTATCTTTCTGTGCTGCTAAAGAATAAATGATACTTAAGAAAATTCACCTAATGAAGACATCATTTACAAACATCACAGAGCTGCCTGCACTAATAGTATTAACTTATATCTATGAAATTATATTTAATTCAAGAATGAAGTAAACCACAGTTTAACTGAGGGAAAGAAGAAATAATGACTCCACCATAGCTGGAGTTGCAAAGACAGTATCTTGAATATTGTAAGAAAAAACAAAATAAAAGAAAGAAAAATGTAAAAGGAAAATGAACTTAAAGGGCTAGATATGGGGTGTAAGGAAAAACTACATGATGCATTAAGACAGACAAAAACTGAATACACAAAGATGCACCATCACATCCCACTCATAAAATAAAGTATTGTCTAATTCATGGAAAATAAAGTTTTTATAGTTCCTGCCACTATCTAACAACAGGTTTTTTTCTAAGTTACAACACTCAACTGTTGAGTCACAGGGATTAATATCCTTTTATTAATAATGGAAAATAAAATGTTCCTTAGGATGTGAGTAGAACAGTACCTCTCCCTGACACCATCTTATTAAAATAAATAAACCAGGAAGAAGCAGCCATACCTTCTCATAGTTTTGAACTGTACAGAATATTTCCACTTCTAATGTTGGCTGACCAACTCCATCAAGAACTTTTCTTCCAACTAATTTGCATATTACTGGAGCTTTTGAAAATTTAGAAAAGTAGTTAGCCTTAAATGAAAGAGAAAGAACTTCATTAAAAGTCAACTTCCATGCAAAGAGGTTTTTATTCCATTAAATATATTTCAGTCAAATCCACCATTGAGCAAATCCACTTACACATTCCAGAAGTATTCAAAATACTTCTGTTATACTGCACATTTACTTCTATATGATCTGCTTAAGAATGAGATTCCAGGGAACAGATCCAACTCATATCTAAGCATGGAAATCCAAAGCCACATGCAGGTGACGTGAACATGCATTTTATTTGCCAAAGTTAATTATGAGTATCAAAATCTCCTTAACCCTCCTGGAAAACAAGCATTAGTCTAAAGCTCACTTGGCTTTACACTGAATAACAAAACCAGTCATCGTGCTACTCATGAAACTCATTTCTATTAGAATTCACACAGCCTCTACCTCCTCTGTGCAGTGAGCTGCT